TAAGGCCTTACAGAGTCCAGGAAACAGACAACATCCCAGTAATCTATGATCATCGAGCCCCTACAATGGTCTACTACTCATTGAGCCTGAATATATAGGCAATGACAGAGTAGAGAATACAAGAGAGGGTAAGAAGTTAGTGGTCAATGAAAGTATGGAGACAGCAAGACCAAAAGAACAGAGAGGGACTGTGCTCTGTGATGGACATGTATCAAAGTAGAAGAAACAAAGTATGAAGAGTTAAGTATTATAAATGAGTTAGACATAAAATGCATGATTACTAATTAAGGTAAATGGACACTCTTATGTGAATGAATAAAAAATTTTTTATTCATTTAAATGTCTGAAACTGTATGGGTACAGAAGCTATCAATGGGCATGAATCTGTTAGAGAGATTCTTTCTTTAAAAGGATCAAAGATAATGCTAGTAAGCAGAAGTACCATGAAGTTAAGGCAAAAAGTTCGTAGAGGAGCTCCAGACAGAGTAAGCAAACCAAAAGCTTTGATAAACAGCTGAAGAAAAAATTAAAATGTTATTTTTTGTATAGCATGACAAATATGGTGGCATATTTGGTATAGCACAATAGAAAGAATACTAAAAAAGGAGTCATGGATGATAGTAAGATTATATTCTTGGGAGCACCTCATAAAAAGCTGTTAAGTTCAAACTTGAAAGTTCAAACTGAAAAAAGAGGGGAGAGAAAGAGGAAGGCTGACAAGCAGAATCCCTAGTTTCAAGAATATTCCTCAATGCAAAAAATAATCCTCAAAAGTCCTCTCCTAAAGACCTCATGCAAATGAGTTGTTCATTATCTCAAAACCATTTTTACATGTGGGTCTTCAAATTTCAGAAATGTAACAGAACATAAAAAAATCAGGCTTTATAGTATGAAAGGAATGTAAACATTTTCTTTCAGACTGTATCCTTGTGGGACAAAGCTAAAAACATATATATATAAAATATGTATGACTTACTAAGTAAACTGTCTAACATAGCTACATCCAAATCTGTGTGTCTCCTTTGCTGCTGGGCTACTAACTGGCAAAAGTCCTGAGCAGCTCTCACAATATCTGCTTTTCCATCTTCTGGGGACAGCACCTTGACTGCTGAATGGCAATTTAAAACTGGAGGAAAAAACAAGCAAGACATTTTTTAAAATACTCTCTTTCAGATATATTTCAAAATCAGTTTTAATAAATATTAAGTTCGGACCAAAATAATGGTACAATTCTTACAGTAAACAAGAATCATTTAAGTCCTTCAATTTCAATATCAAAACAGACTTAGCTATTCTCCTCTGAAAGGATCCATGCACCCTAAATCACATTTATATACTGACTTCTCAAAGTGCTCAGAATGACGCTGGATTTTGACTAAATTTTCTAAAAAATAGGAATTTTTAACTACAGGCTAGTTTATTTTCACACATCAAAAATTCTATCTATAACTATGGTACAGCTGGCAGTAACACAGGATAAAAGAAAAAAATAAAGATTGTAGAAAAACTGTGTTACAATGGAATATGTATTGTCTATAGCACACACATCAAATTCTGCATCTATGGGAGCTATTTTACAACTGATTGTATTCTACGATAATGAAAAATTCTTATCTATAGACATACAAATTATTTCGTGTCCTGTAGAGGTTCAATTATCTTCACTCTCATTCCATAGAAAAACCAATTTTGTCTCTATTTTCATATTCATTTCAATATTCAAGGTCTATAAACGCATCCATTCTTTGGATTCTTGGTGGAACCAGCTATAAAATCTGCCCAGTTAAATAAAATCTTTAACACATGTTCACTTTTTAACATCGGTATGAGTGTCATCATTTTATCTTTTCCTGAAAATTACCTTTTAACAAGATGAAGAGGGAAGAGTCTAAATCTGATGATTAAAGATGTTGACAGTAAAGACTAACAAATTGATAAAAAAGATTAACAAAGTGAAATAAATAAATGAGTAACAAAAATAGCCCTGAAACACAAAATATACATCTTCATAAGTTACATATTAAATTTTACATCATGCTTACCTTGATCATCTTTGTCATTACTATTTGCAAACTCTGGTGAGTATTTCGAACAATCTAGGCCCAGAAGTTCCTGCTGTTGTTTTAAAATTTCATCCATTAATCTGGAATTATTTCTTTTGAAAATACCTTAAAAAAAAAATAAAACAATAAATCATGATTAGGTTAATTTCTCCTCTTCAATGATTAATGGATGCTTGTTGTGAAAACAATACTAGATCCAGAACTGAAAAAAATTCCAAATAAAGCGGTAATGACTAATCCTAACCAGGAATCTAAAAGGAAAACATGACAACAAAATTTTATTAATACAACAGTCTGGCTTCAAGCTAAAGAGGACAGGGGCAAATACTTAGTGGCGATATGAATATTAAAGAAATTTGACTTAGAAAAGAGTTTTAAGAGATCACTTACTTGAAACTTTTATTTACAGATTAAGAAACTGAGATCCAATGTCCTTATGGGACCTATCCAAGAATTTATAAATTCCAGCAGTGCTCTTTTTTTTTCTATTTTTTTTTTATTTCGGCATATCATGGGGGTACAAATGTTTAGGTTACATATATTGCCTTTGCCCCACCTGAGTCAGAGCTTCAAGCATGTCCATTCCCCAGACGGTGCACACTGCACCCATTAGGTGTGAATATACGCATCCCCTTCTTCGCCCTCCCACCTGCCAGACATCCGATGAATGTTACTACTATATAATATATACACTTAAGTGGTCAGTTAAGTCAGTTAATACCAATTTGATGGTGAGTACGTATGGTGCTTATTTTTCCATTCTTGTGATATTTCACTTAGTAGAAGGGGCTCCAGCTCTGTCCATGATAATACTGCAGCAGTGGTCTTGAGACCACAGATTTACTATGTGCATTAAACTACTGCCTCAATTTGATTAGTTTTTTTAACTTCAAGAGGAACTAATATGAATTATACAAAAAGTAGAGAACAGACAAAAGTAACAAAATCAAAGTTTAGTAAATTCAAACAAAGCAGGGAACTAAACTATATAAAACGGTATTTGATACTCTCCAACTATACAGAGAAAAGTTAACACTTTACCACCATGTCATTGAGAAAGACAAAGGAACTACATGACACAAATTTAATATAAAACTAATATACAGCTCTAACTAAAGAAAAAGGCAACAAGTTTTTGACTATTTTTAAAGAGGCAGCTTTCTAGTGGCCACTGCCTTTTTGATCTTTATCAAGTGTTCCTACTCTGTACTCAGGCCTGACTTTATAGCAGTTCAAAGATTAACTGGGAGAGAGAACCCACTAAAAAAAAAATTTTTAAATAGAAATAATAATAATTATATAATAAAAATATAACACAGAATCTGCCGATATATAATGTATACAAATGCCAAGCTGGTAGTATATATGTAACAGCATTTATAAAAGCAGTCTCCTTTGGTGGGGAAAGGCTTGTAAAATAATCAAGACTTGAGTTGAGCTAACTCAGAACGTTAAAAAAAAGAAAACAGAGAGGACACTACATGGGGAAAATACTTAAGAAAAAGTGTGAGTTTAGAATGTTCAAAAGACAGGCAAATGCTGCTGTTACAAAGATCTGAGAAGAGGGGTGAGGGAATAGTCCTAATTTTTCTTTCATCTGGACTATCAAATGGATAACCAACAATTCCTAAACAACATGGAAATGTATGTCTTTCAGCAGAATTAACCTGGCAACAGCAGAGAAAAGGCCAGGCAGCAGTCTACTACAGTAGTCTATACATAATCTGTTGAAGAAATGGAAAAGAAGGGTTCACCACAAAGGAAAAACTGAGAGAATATGGTACATAACTGACTTACAGGTGAATGTAGAAAATTCCCTGGCTTTTGTCCTAGGTAGTGAAAAATGATAATGTTTTTTAAAAGTAAGGAAATTCTACAAAAAGAATAGGTTTGAAGGAAAAGATAAGTTCAGTTTTAGACAGCTGATGAGAGAATATTAAGGTGAAAGTTACTACAAAAGTGATTAAGAGACATGACACAGAAGGATGTTCAAAAAGAAGTTATATAAGCACCATGTGGGTAGGGATCTTATCTGTTTTGCTTGCCAGGGCCTAACACAGTGCCTGGCACATAGCAAACTCTCAACAAATAAATGTCTGCTGAAAAGACAAAAACTCAGAGACTGAGATGTAGATACACATTTGGGAGTCATCCTCCTTAAGGTGAGAAAGCTGTACACACAAGAAGTGATAAATAAGATTTCAAAGGTAATTGGGTATATGCGGAGAAAAGTAGAGGGCTAAGATATGACTCCTTATGAATGCCCACAATTATTATGAAAGCTAATAATCATATGACTCTTAAGTTTGGAAACATAAAAGGGAAAATTTTGAAACATCCATATCCAGAGCAAGATTAAACAAACAATATATTACTGAATACTCACAAAATTTTTAAAGGAAGGTGGTTAATATCAGGAGCTATCTGAACGGTAATCTTTAGAATAATAATATTAATACTTGTACAATAATACAGATGTGCAGGATATAACCATTATCTTCAAATCAATCATAAAATTCACATGTACAATACAAAAAGCATATAC